ATAATCGCTGCTCGTGGCGGTGAGCTATTACGCGTTGTACTCGCCCAGCGAGACGATGGCGCAGTGTTGATCGCGAGACGCCATACGCGGCAGCAGCAGCTTTTTGTGATTTAAAAACACCATTATGATAATCGCGGATAGCAGATTGAATAGATTCTTCGCGATTGGACATATTAGGCACGTTGTGGTGGTGGTGGGCAGCTTCAAAATTCAAAAATAGTTGTTGTTGGTGGAGTGGTTGGGGTGGCCACTACTGGGTGTGGCCATTACTAGGTGTCCGAGCTTAGGTGGTGAGCCCCGTTACCGTGCCTGGGCACGCAACGCACGCGGAACACCAGAACACGAAACTCAGCCCCAACTTTGACGCGTCGTAACTCCACCACCATGGGAGCTATTGACGACGCGCTTACAGCAATCGAATCGCTGAAATTAGGAGAATCTTTTACGTATCAAGAAAGTGCTGATCGCTATAGTGTGCAGCAAACCAGGTCCAATCACGCGCGGCACGATGCTCGAGGTAGCCGTGGCTGTTTCGTCTCCCTGCCTACAGACGTGATGGGTTGGTTGGTGCATGTTGAGGCGCAGCGCAACGCCAAACGCCCAGGCCGCGAGAACCGGGGCTGTCGGGCCGGCGTCGCCACCCAGCGCCGAGCACCAACCTCCTCCATTCCTCCGTTTATCTTCATCCCATCCCCATCACCCATTCCCGTCTTCAACTTCGTCCCCCCGACCCCGACCCCGACCTTCTCTACTTTCTTTGTCTTTCAACCATTGCCTTTTTCTACGCGAAAGCAAGCCGTCTACCGTGAGGCACTAAACCGTCCGTTTCACCTGCATGGCGTCTTGCCCCAGTACGCTATCCTCATCATAGGGCCTTTGACACACCGAATCAGTCTCGCAATCCATGCCTGGTTGGTTCGTGTGTCTTGGGAGCGATACCCGAACAAGGCACATGTTGTGTGAACAAGGCGGGCTTAGGCGGTCTACGGTTTGGTGATTGCTAGCGCGACAGAGTCAGGGCTGCTCTTTGCCACCGACGCAAAAGCCCGGGCGGGTGGGCTTCCTTTGCAGCTGCATTTCGCCTGCTCTGTTGTAAAGGGGTACATTGTGTTAAGTAGTGGCATTGTGTAGAAAGAACTAACGCATAATGAAAACTATCCATACACGTAAAGGGGGAATTCCCGCTTTGGCGTATGCTACCCATCGTGTACTCGAACTACCGTTGTATACACTAAAGATTTTGAATCAGGATGTGCAGTTTGAAGTGATTCTTGAACTTGTTTTGCCAATCAATAGCGTTGGTAACAAGCGACTCTATCAGCTTCACTGTGGAGGCGGCAATCTTGTGCCTGGCGGGAATTCGCTCACGAACATGGACACTCCTCTTTCGCATGAATTATCGTCATCCCTGCTACGGTATGGGGAATCTCGACCCGGAATACTGTCGCTGTCGCTCAAGCAACCATGTTCAGCATGGTACCCCAATGGACATAGTAATATCGATGCCGAGTTTCGAAAACTCTTAGAGCTGGCACGGTCACCAGTAATCCATATTCTTTTCGACACTGCATGGCTGAGTAAAGAGAACTTAACTCTGCTTAAGTGTATTCTCAAAGGCTCTCAGGAGTTCGATAGTGTTCCGGTTCTACCAGAGTTCAAGGTCTCGCATAAGGAAGTAGATTGGTCAATCATCAACTTTATGCAGGATGCTACTCCTGAAGCTTATGTTCCTGCTGAAGACCAGGCGTCTGTGGTTATATCCTCTATCGAAAATGCGGGAGCTGAAGCACCTCGCTTCCAAGACGTGAGATACGATGAGCCCCCTTCATACGCGCATGTGGGTAGACACTTGAGATGTACGTGTTCCAGTTAGATACTGCATCAGAATGTTGCTAATGTGAATTGCCTAGCTGGCCACGGCTTAACACCAGAAATTCCGGGTTCGAAGCGCGCCCGAGAAGATTCAAACTTGCCTCCAAAAACAAAACGCGCTACTCTTGCGCCATCGCTTCGCGCTGAGTCACCGGCTTCGTCTACTGCCACCGTTTCGGTAGACCTTTTCCAAGAAGCTGTCGCTTCCGCCGTCGAGAAAGTGCTCTCACACAAGTTGGAGAAGGAGTTGATACAAATGGTCAAGAAAGAGCTCCTACCGGTGTTAGATGAGCTTCTTCGGAAAACGCCTGCTGGGCAGTCTCCCTCGCGATATTTGTCGCCGGCACCACCTTGCAGTCAAATCCCCAACGCGCTCCCACACCACGATGCGACCCCCACCCATCGTCCCACGCTTAGTACAATGATCAAGGAAGCTGTTACCACAGCTGTCCACGAATCCCTCGACGAAACCTTCTACAACGCTGTTGATCAATCTTGCAACTCTGCCAGCATTGAATTAGCGGAGTTAAGTACTACCTTGAGGGGTGACTTGGAAATTACTAAAGAAGATCATATGGCTGATTGCAACGACGAGTTGAATCACATGGTAGTAGAGGCCAAACAGCGTTTAGCAGAAGAATTGGAAACTTATGCTGAAGAGATGCTGCTTCGAACTGAGAAGCGTTTGAACGCGATTGGCAACCGAGCGCTATCTAAGGGCCTCCTTAATGTATCGGAGCAGGCTCGGAGGGCTAAGTCTCTGCCCGTTTCGAATGAAGATAGAAAGACAATCGCGAACGGGTCATGAATCGGAAAGGCATTGCGTTGCTGGCCAACGGTGCATTCTGTTTGTTGTTTTTAAGGTTTGGACGCAGCAACATATGGTATTATACCCTATGATCAGAGCTAAGAACTTGGTTTGAACGCTTGTTTAGGCATGGTTCGTGATGGGCAGGCTACATGCTTGGATCAGATCTGCTCCTAACTAGAGCTTTCGTCCTATGAAGATTGACCAGGGAGCATAAACACTCATCCTTGCTGTATTGGCACAAACTCAGAAGCGCTTTTTCAGTTCCTCAAAGGACGTCCGTCCTGAAGATTATGAGAGACCCACGCATCAGCAACGAGGGGAGACACTATGACTTTGAGCAAGTCATTCTCTGCGCAACCTCTTCGTGTGGTCTTAGTGACTGCAACTTAGCTAAGTTACAGTGATTGTTTGATTACAGACTGCATTCACATCCAAGGAAGAGCCTGCGCTTTCTGGCTTTACACTAAATCTTGTTCTCCCTTCTCCTTTCTAAGATGCTAGTAGAGGCCTGCTACTAGCGAATCGCACATGGTTGCCCACTAGTAGAGCGCCCGCAATGGCGCTACAATCGTTCGCTACCTCGATGAGTTTTACACTATTGTCTACGTGCGGCCTGCGACTGTGTTCAAATGCGCGCATGTCTCCTTTACCTGCGATATTTAGGCACTAGCTATATGGCTGAATGAGCGCAAGCTGGACACTACTGGCTCCACAACATACTATACAAAGAGCGTCTTTGATTGCACTTTACGCAATAAGAAGTATCTTCTTCAAGCGCGAGGATTACTATGGAACTATATTAACTTCGTGTGCCTCCGCAGTATGCGGCTGGAGCGAATCAATCACTTCTCCTCGGAGTACGCGTGCGACTACTGCGCTGTGATATGCTTCAAACTCGCTTTCTTTGCTTTGCCATACGTCATCCTTTATATCGAACAGCATGCGTCTACCAACACCTGGCGCCCAGTCTTGTACAGTGTCACAGAGGGTTGAGAGATTGAGGAACTCTAGGCAAAGGCATTGCCCAATTTCTGTAAGAGTCGGCTCCCACGTGTTCCGATAGTCTCCTAGTCGTACAAGGGACGTGCGTACAAGTGTGAGACGGCGAAGCGTATTCTTGTGCGCAAGGAGAAAACCCATCAATGTCTTCCGATCGGTCGCTATCTCTAGATCAATGTTGCAGATCTGATTCCAACGCGAGTGAAGACTAAGATGTGAAAGTAGCATCATGGAGCCTCGCGCCTGTTCTCTCTCTTGGCTCCCATACGTTGGACGAAGATAGCCATCAACAAGTCTTCCGAATGCTAGGCTCAATCGTTGGAGTTTGGTAGCACTAATAAGAAAGTAAAGAACGAGCTTCGCTGCGGTCTCCATGCAGCCTGTCATTTCGTCATTATCAGACACACAGAAATCAAGACAAGTCAGATCAGAGAACGCGCGCGCCATCGCTTGCAGTCGCCTATAGAGCAGCTTAATCTCGTCAGATTCTACAAGGCCAGTACGGGCGTCTGCGTCTGCTTCTGGCGAAGTTGCATGAATGGATCGACAGAGACGTGTAATCTTATGACTGCCGCTGAGCCTTAGAAGTTTCAAGCGCGCTGGTGTTGCGAAGGCAGGGCCGCCAATATACATGCTCATCTTCTGTAGCCTCTGGCCTTTTCCTCTAAAGTATGCGAGCCTTTCGAGCACGATCGACAGTTGTAGGGCATCAATGTCTTCGTCTTCATCGTTATCTGTAAACCCAACAATATAGTCGGGGTGGAAATAAAGGTCTCGCCATCGAAGAGCCCATACGTCGGTGTCAAGAAACCTAGGCTCGTGCTCAAAGGCACTTAAATTCGGCAGTGTTTGGAGGGCCTTGGAAAATTGAGTAACGGATACATTTCCTGCTTCTGCGTTTGCGATAGACCGAGCGTCTTTGTTTTGCAGCTCGCGGTCTGCATTGTATGCTTCGTAGAGCGCATTTTTCTCTTCTTTGGACAATCTGGCCCACTCTTCGTATGGCATGAGCTGACTACGTAGTTCTTCATCTTCGTAGTGAGTTGTATAACAGGTCTTCCATGGAATGTAATCTGGAGTGCCTGGCTGGTGTATGCCCTTCACCCAGGCGTCGAAGTCCGCAAACTTCCGGTATCCACGGATTCTGCGGAGCGCGATGGTCTTGACAAAACAGTTGAGCACAGAGTTCTGGGAAATGTTATACAGGGACTCGCAGCCGTGCTCGCAGAGCTCAAAGTTGATCTCCTCAAAAAGAAGAGGCGTTGCAAGCTCGCTCAGGCTTCTGCAGGTCTGCCTGACCTGCTTCCATTCCCACACATTGACGTGTTCTAGAACTGAGAGTAAAAGCTCCGTTGGAAGATCAAGAAGTAACATTGCGCTGCGGCGTGTTGTGGGTAGTAAGAGCGTGAACCAGCACTTTGCAAGTAGAAGTGCGGGGTACTGGTCCGTGCGCGCGCCAAGACTAAATTTACGAAGGTTCCGTTCAGTGTCCGTGAGTGAACCGTACTTAGGGGGTCACCCGGTGGACAAAATAACGCGCACTCCAAAACTGGCTTGGCCCACTAAGATCATCAAGAACATTAAAAACTTCTTACTTTCTAGGCTTAAAAGTCCACCACAACGTAAGGATTTCAGGGGTAAAAAAGCTAGAAGTGTCTCGCAATATCCTAAAGTATCGTTGTATGCCAAAAAACCTAAGTAAATAACTTAACAAATTTGATATTAACTGATGTAAAGCGTAGGTCATTTGTGAGTCCGCGTTATTTTGTCCACCGGGTGGGGGTACATAAGCATATCCCAAGCGCAGCTGTCAGCGCAACCCCAAGTTAGCACGGGCCATATCCACGAACACCAACTTTTTGTCCTATGCTATTTGATAACTCACGCTACATAGATCGTACGATGATAAAACGTAGTGCATTGGACGTGCGCGAGTCTCCTGCATCTAAGACGGAAGTTGCATCTATTTTGAATATCGTTCGGACGGTATTTACTACTGCGAACTGGTGGGTAGATGGACAGGGGTAAAACGCACTATCCGACCATAATTCCCTTTCGACCATAATTCCGTTTGGCATAATGTGTAGGGAGCAGCCAGTGGCTCCGAAGGAACGTGCGCTTGAGGCTCTTTCTCCACTTGCGGGCTTGATGTTTTCCTCGGATAAGTGTGATAAACTCGAAGCTCTGTTGGTACAGCAGTCGATATGGTTTGTCTTTCCAGCCTCTGCGCTCAAATTGCCCATCTTTCCACTCCCATAACCATGAAAAGAGGACGTCAACGCTCTTCACCGCCAGCCGGTTTCCCGCGGCTAGTTTAGGAGGCTGGTGCTTGTTCTTCAGAACGCGGTTGATGCTCGGCCAACACAGAGGGACTTGGCCAGCCAAGGCCGCCCCAATATAGTCTTTATGTAGGAGATGTCGGATAAAGGACAAGACATCTTTACGAAAAGCACAGAGGCAAAGCTGTTCCAGATATTCCTCTAAAAGGTCTAAGCCAGTTGGTACAGCGCTAAACTCCATCATCCATTGGCGGGCCTTATCTGTTCGGATGAAGTCAATGCGCACATCCCGGATCTGGCTGTAGCGCGCGTGGTAGGCCGCTTGCATGGATGGGTTGTTGAACATCATGTACTGGGCAAATGGTTGCCGGAACGTCATCGTCTCCCAGTCCACTTTATCCATGAACCAAGCATAGCCATGTCGTCTCATGTTGTCCTGGAACCCCAAACCTTCGCGTCTCCGCAGCCCGTCTGACTGGTTGACATCGCTCTCTAGTCGTACATCCTGCCAAAGACCGCCGGCCCGCTGAATAAGGCCGGAAGAGTAGGAAAATTGGAGACACCGCAGAAACATAAGCATGATCCGAGTATGTTCCCACGTGACGAAATGGTGGTCGTTCAGGCTGTAAACCATCTCAAATCCAACGCAGAACTTGTTAATATTCCAGCGCAACCACCGTATAAGTGTGGCGGTTGTGATAGTATAGTATGACGCATTACTATCTCGCGCTGATTGGAAGCGTTGTGTGTGGAGTTGCCGTTGCTGGAATCGAGCGTTTATCTGGCCAAATAATTGCCTCGAAACACGATGTTCCTCCCGTGTGCCAAAACACTTCTGCGTTGATCCTAGTAGAGCATAGTGACAGCGGAGTTTGGTATAGAGATAGGCCCGAACTAACGGGACAGGATCGTGGCTGAGGCCTGCTCCAACGTGTTGCCATGTCTTCCGTAGCTTAGGGTCGAGCGCCAGCGTCTCTATGGCTGTGTTGGTAAAAGGATAGGCGTTCCCAGCCGCGAATATCTCCTTGACGCTAGAGTAAAACTGACTATAGAGGAGCCCGTCCGCGCGGCTTTTCGAGCTCCGATGGGTCTCGATCGTCAAGCTTCCACTGTCATGTAGCATGCTAAAAGGGTAGAATATTCTCCGATGCCCATCTGCTTCCTGGCCGTGCCAATCTTGCATCCACTCGCTATAGGTCTCAAGACAGCATCGCTTCCATAATAGCGTTTTTGCTAGGGCGTTGTCTTCGTCATCTTGTGCTTCCCCCTCTTCATGTGCGACGTGAGATTTTTGTGCTAAGCATACCTCTTTACCTACGTCAATATAAGCGTCCGAGGTCAGATAGCTCTCTGTGATAGCTCCAGTCCAGTATTCGTCGAAGCGCGAAGTCATCTGCGCCCAGGTCAAGTCTTTAGTGAGGCATTTAAGGTTCTTGCCGTGGCAGAAGAGGAAAACACCGCGAAACTGCTGCAGCCCATGGCGTTCAACGGCTTGGAGGATCATCTCCCACATCTCGTGAAGATGGTCGGGCGGAAGAAAATGAAAAAGCTGCTGCTGCCGTGGCATCGCGTCTGTCCGTTGAGATCGCCCCTCTACCCCTCGAGCTGTGGAGTTATATCGCGCATGGTCGTAGCTAGATGGATAGTGCTGCACAATAGAGCTACCGTGACATTGGTACACGACCGGGAGCAGGATCTGATCCATCCAGTTACGGAAGTCGTCGTCTAAAAGACGGCTTACCTTTTGCTCTTCTCGGTAAAGATGCGGAAAGAATAGATACAGGGAGATATCTTGAAACCCCACTAGTCGCCCAAAGCAATAGTGTGGCAATTGATGCAACGGCCTCCGTACCGAGTGAGCATGGCCATGGCGATCAATGTAGTGCGCTAAGCGGCTGTCGAGGTGCAAGTCTGATCGTAGGTCTGAAACCGGCATCTGTGTGGGATTCCAACGAATGCCTTGCTTGGCTACAGCTAGGCTACTCGGAAAACCAAGAACGCTATCAATATCAAAGGTGACCTCGGTTGGTACAGTCGCTTGATCGTCCGCCTTCAAGCAGATGTGGGCTGGCGAAACATCATCTTTGCCAACTCCACAGTAGAGCTGGTACCTGACTTTTCCGTCTATTTGGCTACTAAGGTTTGATGTATGAGTCGTCATAGTGTTTGACCCTAGTATATCTGGGCAATCCACTGTCGCTGCGATTCCATCTAAGTATTCCTTGAGGCCAACATGAGTCGAATGCTGCTCGGTATGCTCGTCTTGAGACTGCTGATGGCAATGTTCGCAACATCCCTGGTGCCGAATGAGCTGATCCACTAGCCGATCTGCGAGTCTGCCTACTTCCTCAGTCTCGTTGTCAAGGTCTGTACTACCTATCGCAAAATCTCCGCTTTCATGGACAACGCTTGTCGCATCACTAATTGTTGAAATACCTTCGCACTCTACTTCCCCTAGCTCTCTAGTAACTATAGGCTCTTCAGGGTTGATAATAGGTTCGTCTAGGACGTCATCAATTCCAGTAGATAGAGAGTCTGGCGAAAGGCCACCTAAAGGGCTAAGTGGTGGCAGAAACTCTTCCAAGTCATTGCGCTCATTCGGTATCGGTCCGGTTTGAGCAGTATCTTCTTCTCTTTCAAGCGTGGATGGTCCGCCTTGAACCAGCTGTGGTAGAAGCGGCCAAAAGAATACAGCCTGCCCTGGGCCTCCGATATACTGTTGTTCAGATGGTATTTCTCGCTCTTCTGGGGCCTTAGCCTTCCTCTGGGTGCGTTTTCTTTCCGCGTCGGCCGCCTTCTTTTCCTCTGTAGATGTGTATTTAGGCGGCCGACCTCGCTTTTTCTGGCAGGCAGTATTCTTGTTCAACATTGTACGCTATAGTTGTATTAAATATCAAAACTGATTTTATGGAAGAGCAGAGTGTCAAAAGATTACGACAAGTAACGGGGACAAGGACTGTGGTAAGAATATAGCCTGGTGTGTCAGGGGAAAGGCTCGAGCGTACCCTACCTCAATCTATGTCAGACGACGTCAGCTTCCTAACCTCTTTAGTACACACTGTGTGTAGCGACAACTCCTACATACTAAGCTGAGAGGTCTCCAGTTGCTATTAGAGTTACCAGGAAAAACCTTTTTAGTATTCTTGTATATCTACAGTCTAGCAAGCTATTGGGAGGACTAGAAGAGACTTTTCTAGTAACCCTATATGTAATAGACTGCGCTCTGTGGAGCAAACACTTGGTGTATAAAGGGCGTTTAGCCCACTATAATACTACACGGCCGTGTATTGTACGCTGTAGGTGTAGCATGGCCGCAATTCATGGCTGGTGTGGCTGAAATCCAAGATGGGGTTCCAAAATGGGGTTAGTGGTGTCCGCGAAATTCGAAATAGGCTTAGTGGTGTCCGCGAAATTCGAAAGCGGTATAGCGCCTTTTTGGCAGCCAAAACCACCCACCTTTAGAACGCAATAACACCGCAACGACGTAAGATTATGCTTTCTTGACTATTGGAGGTAAATCGCAGAGTTTAAAAATATATGTGCTCTTCTTTTTGTTCTTCTATTCAAGTGTGAAGTGGTAGTGTTGTAGTGGGGGTTTTGCTTATAGTAGCGTCTTTGAGAGGCTACTCAGCAACCAACACCTGCCTCCCTACGGCCCTCAACACCACGCGTACAGGCATCTATAAGGCGTTTTATAGCGTGGGAGCCACCCTCTACTTAGTAAATTAGGCTAAAAAAAAGAATATTTTATTCATTTGCGCGGTCAAATTTACGTACAAAACGCGCGTACAGGCTGCCTTCGGCGTTGAGCTGGTAATCGGCGTTCAGCTGGGTAGGGCCTAGTTCGGAGAACTAGGCATGTGGGGCGAGTACTTTGCGTCATCCATTTGCCCCAATAAACGATTCTCAAACCTATCCCGAACTAATACAGCGAGGGCTTCTATTATCTCATGACTCAAATTATCATCACTGTCGATCCTAAATCTAAACGGTAGCGCAGATGTTGTTGAAGAAAGCAAAATAAACGTCTTAAGTAAGATATTCTTCTTCTTAGGATTCTGTAGGGGGTCAACTTCGTTTTCGGTGAGGATTGCTTTCGTAGACTAATGCGAATTGAGTTCATCCATTCAGTATCCAAGCAAGGGAAGCGTGACATACCATAGTATCCAAGTTTGATTTTATGTTACCACAGAACCCCTTTGCTCCAGAATGTGCACCCATTCTCTCCTGCGGCTCTTCTGCTGAGCTAAGGCTATCGTCTGCATCTTGATAGAGAGCCAGCAGGATGATGTACCATAGCTTGCTGTGGTTACTATCGCACATAAGGAATTGCTCAGCAGCTTCATTGAGTAAGTGAATTTTGTTCATCGAATCGCGCCTGATATGGTTTCCCTGTCGGTTTCTGTTTAAGGATTGGATGATGTGCGAAAGGCAATGGCACTTTTCATCACTGCTACTGCTAGTTGAGTTGGAGTGCTGAGGTTCTAGATCGATGTAAATGCGCTCCTGGTTGGGAAAATCGAGATTTAAGAACTCTTCGTCTAACGCGGACGACGGCAATGGCAATACGCCACAGTCAAGACTAGTCGTAGCCATTGGCTCCGAGACAGCATGAACATTTTTTGGCTGCGTCGAAGTCTGGCTGTGGCGCTCTGCTCGACTGTTCGTGATGTCTTCTCTAGAACGACTTGGGTGGTTCTGGTACGCCTGGTTGGTTTGTGACCCATAGCCTAGAGACTGCAGTGCTGTATCTAGATCTGACTGAAATAATGTAGTTTCGGAATGGTTTGAATCATTTTGCATCTGGGCTTCTGCGTTTTTGCGTCTCATCTCCTCTTTCTGGCCAGACTGGGGACTAGCCTGAGAGTCTCTAGGGTCTTCCCAAGTTAGTGAGTCGACTAATAAGCAAGTGGAAGAGATAATACCCTTGAGACTACGTTGCGATATAGGAGTATACAGGCCGTTTTTTTGCAATACTTGTTCGTGTGTTCTGATGGCATTACGCAGGACGGAACGTCTATGCTGACGACTCTGATCAGGCTCTAGTCGTCTCGGGCGGCCAACAGGCCTGGTAATACTGTATGTGCATTGCTGGCCAGACTGTTGGCACCTCTCGCATGCAGGCATTCCACGGGAACAGCTGAGCTTGCGGCGATAGCATTGGTCGCAGACGTTGTTGTAAGGATTTGCTTGCGAGCTGGAAGATTCGCTTTGATGAGAGGAATGGGTAAAGGGCTGGTTAGATGTCATCTTGAGCAGTGAATTCCTTAGATCTATCGACTGTTACAGGTGGCCTTCAACTTGTTCTTATATGCTCTACTCCTAGGCATCTAACCCACTGTTTCAGATAGTACTGCCAACCTGGAACGGGCTGGACATGGCACCTAGCCTATCATATTAGCTGGCGCGTAGCCCTTCGCGCATCTTAGGCAGAACTACAAAGCTAACTTCATCCGCATGCAAAAGCCGACTAGCTATCCTGTCTAGATGCAGTGGAATCTATGTACCGTAGAAAGGTACTAGCGTGGCGGGGAGCTAGCAAGACGGGGTACAGCCATTTCAAGGTTGAATGGAGCCTAACCCAGCTTCAGCGAGCTTGGTTGATAAAGAAGACATCATGACAATTTCTGACAGGGAAGCTTAGTCTGTTAGATTTTACCGTCTGTATTGCGCTCCGTCTTTGTGGCTCACCAATATCAATGTGATCGATCCAACTATTTTGTGAAAGTGTTGCTAGCCCGGAACACACCGGATCTGATACCTAGCATGCCGCATTAGCTAATGCACAGTACCTCATACAGCTCTATTGAATGATCATCCGGAAAGAGATTAATTACATCTCATGACCCTGTCTGTACGCAGTGAAATCTATGTACGGTAGTTCGGGATCGACTCAAGCATAATGCAACTTTGGGGGAGGGAGGCGTGCTCCATGACAAACAAGCATGGTAGCAACTTCTGAAGAACCCCAGGGGCTCCTAGCATTGCCCTGAATATAGTCAGCGGTTGTGGTTTGTTAGTTCCAAGCCACTACACCGCCACCCGGTCGCCCGCTGCGATACAACCGGTGATTCTGTCAGATCTTACGGTAGGACTTGCACTCACTATCGCGATTGAATTAATGACTAAAAACGTGAAAGTCGTCGTACATCTGCCACCACTCCAGAACTGATCCCCTGATACTCGTACATGTGCCTACCTCTAACACAGTGCTGTAACGGAACCATATCGGCCCGATAGGGTAGAGCGCCTGGTCTCTCTGGCGGAAGCAGGATGTCTTCCGAAGTCCAGGGTACAGTTTGCTGTCCTCTTACTACGTAGGTCAGTTGTCATCCCACGCAGGAGATGGACCCATCTGGTATGCGCTTGTCCAGAAAAGCTTAGACTCCGTAAATGTCACGCATTAATTATCGACCCATGGCATCGCTGATAGGAACTAGTACCATTTGGGCAAGATGAGTACCAAGCGAGAGAGGCTTGGCGTATAATCAAAGGTCGCCTGCTTACAGAAACCGGAAGCTGTAACTGCGTGAGAGTATAGCATGACCTATCAAGCAGATTCTTGTATGGGTTAAAATACCGGTGAATACTGTCGGTGTGGGAAAAACGGACGGGCAGTGGTCTACAAGGGCTCGCAATGCACTACCACGCTACTTTAAGGGCCAAGTTCTCTTACCAGGTCAGGCTAAGATTCTCGGGATTACACAGTTAGTCGGGCCGATATCACACTTAAAGTCACACTATCTCCGGAGATAACTATCTTATCATCCCGAATATCTACTTGTAGTACTTAGCATCCCGGCCTAGTCTGTGGGCAAGTTTTCCTTCCTTTTGAAGGATAGCGGCAGTGCATTGTTCTCTTGGCCCACCTTTTTGGACCGCCACTTCAGACTATATACCAATTGCTCGTCCCTGTCCCACTCCGCACAAGCAGTATTCACTGGCATTTCAATCCATACAAAAGTCAAATTGGCCGGCCGCGCTATCTTTTACAGAACCTATACAGGCTTGCGAATCGTGGAGCATGGTAGTTATTCCCTCAAATTTGCGTTAGATTTACTAGACTACAAAGGGCCGGAAAGCACCGAAGAAGGAACGAAAAGGAACGAAGAAGGGCCGTTGACAGCATTTGAGTTCAGTGGGGCGAGTAGTGCTTACAATCCTCTATCATGGGGTCCAAGCTTGTAACAGGCACCTCTATCATAGCTCAAATTTTAGTAACTAACATCTCCCCCTATGTCACGCAAATCCCCCCGTACCGCAAACAGCCTGCGATTTTAGTATCTCGGAACCCGCCCTATCGCTAGTATTGCACCGCGATAACCAAAAACTCATTCTTAAGCCTATTTTCTACAAACTTAGAAGGGCGGTTGGAAATATTACAGCGTGTTTGGTCCTGTCGTCGCCCATTCCGTATCGGCCAGTCTAGGGCTGATAGGCTCCACACCCCTGTCATAGCAGGATACATAGAACATTTCTACATATTAAGTGTATTAAAC